AATCGAGGGCTGCGACTGTTTACCAAAAACACAGCAACTTGCTAAGACGAATAGTACTTGTATAAGTTGTGAACTCTGCCCAATGCCATGTCGTGTAAAGAAGGTGATCTATTTATAAATAGAGTCACTAACTGATGCCATGGTGAATGGCGGTCTTAACTATAAGGATCTGAAAGTAGCGAAATTCCTTGGCCATTAAATGTGGTCCTGCATGAATGAGGTAACGTGGCCCTGCTGTCTCCACAAGCATCTCAGTGAAATTGAATTAGCCGTGCAGATGCGGTTTACCTTCAGTTAGACGGGAAGACCCTATGCAGCTTTACTGTAGCTTGATATTGTTTCTTTTATAGCTAGGTGTAGTATACAAGGGAGTAGATATTTTTCTACATCAGTGAAATACCTTGACTAGTCTAAATAAGAAAATAACCTATAACCTAATACTAGTAACGATTCTATTAAATACTACTAAAATTTTCTAGTACTATTTTTCTATAAGTTCTTTTTTAATATTCCCCCAATATTAATATTCATAGAGTTATTTCTATGGCTATAAATAGAAGTATTTCTATTTATAAGGACTTTAAATAGTCTTTTTCTATAACTTATATAGGGACATCTTTAAGAATTTATCTTAAGTCATAGAGAATTTGTCCTATAGAATACAGTGAATGTATTAGTGGGAAAATATCAGGTGGTCAGTTTGACTGGGACGGTAGCCTCTAATAAAGTATCAGAGGCCTTCAAAGGTATGCATATATTGGTCAGAAACCAATGAACTATGTAAAGTTTACTAAAGCGTAATAGTATAAGCATGCTTGACTGAAAGACTGATAGGTCGATCAGATACGCAAGTAGGATATAGTGATCCGGTGATTCATAATGGAATGGTCATCGCTCAAGAAATAAAAGTTACGCTAGGGATAAACTGTTGTCCCTATCTATTCATTATTTGTGTTAACATTGAAATTCATAACATAAAAGTAGATAGATATAAAATCGGGTGAATTGCAAGAAAATCTTATAAACTAATAAGACAACTTGCAGCTAAGCTTAAATCAGTGTATATCTATATTTGTAGATAGTGATGTAAGAAAGTTCAACGACTAATCAGTGAGTTGCACTAACAATAATCTGGACACGAGCGCCCGACATTTGACAGTACTAATACATACTACGAAAATATAAAATAAAATAAAATAATCTAATATAAAATGAACAATAAAAATTTACTGGCCCTACTAAAATTTCTATAGAAATTTTATAAGCCGGATAAATACTAATTTCTATTATTATTATTTTATTAGTAAGCTCTGATTTCAACAGGGTTAGTATTGTATTAGTCATTAAATGATGACATAGTCTAAACTATATAGTGATATATAGAAAAATAGTATTAAATGTGCTATTAGTAATGAAAAAAAAAANTCTGATTTCAACAGGGTTAGTATTGTATTAGTCATTAAATGATGACATAGTCTAAACTATATAGTGATATATAGAAAAATAGTATTAAATGTGCTATTAGTAATGAAAAAAAAAAATGAACAGGTTTATCGTTTGCGAGAGTTCATATTGTCCAAACGGTTTGACACCTCGATGTCGACTCATCTCATCCTCCAGGTGTAGTAGCTTGGAAGGGTTCAGCTGTTCGCTGATTAAAGAGGTACGCGAGTTGGGTTCAATACGACGTGAGTCAGTATGGTCCCTATCTTCTGAAGGAAAAAGTAATCGATTAAGGACCTCCGGTTAGTACGAAAGGACCGCTGGGGATGATTCCATGGTGTACCTATTGTTAAGTCTATTTTTAGATATGGCACCGTAGGGTAGCCACAATCATGACAGATAAGCGCTGAAAGCATCTTAAGCACGAAGCACACCTTATTAGATTACAAGAAATAAGAAGAAGACTACTTCTTAACGTATTTTCTACATCTCTTTTTGTAGAAATGTAAATTCGTCATAGGGTGCAAATGTACGTATAGTAATATATTCAGTTTAGCACTACTAATTTATTGATTAACTTAATCGTAAAACATTGTCTACTATCTATAGTGTACCGTTTTTATGGTTATGGATCTCCTATTAACCTGCCCCCCCATTATAAAATCTAAGATTTTATTAGGGGGCAGTGTATCATAAATATAAAAAATAGGAATTTAATAAGATATTACAGATTGATGGCCTAATGGTTCAGGGCGATCACTTTGGGAGTGATAGTACTGAGTTCAAGTCTCAGCAGTCTGATTAATCCTAAATATAAGAAATCAATTTCTAAAAAAAAAANTAAGATATTACAGATTGATGGCCTAATGGTTCAGGGCGATCACTTTGGGAGTGATAGTACTGAGTTCAAGTCTCAGCAGTCTGATTAATCCTAAATATAAGAAATCAATTTCTAAAAAAAAAAATAACGCCGACAGTAGTTAAATAAAAAATAGTTTATATAGCATAATTATTTTTATACTAAAATAGTTTTGTTTTACAAAAAATAGGTAGTACGTAGGTACTATAACATAGTGGTAATGTGGCGTACTGTTAATACGTTCAGCGAAAGTTCGATTCTTTCTAGTGCCTTATTTTTATAGTATAACACTATTTTATTAGCTGTGATAAAATAGAGTTAAATAAAAATACTTTCTCCTAGCTCCCCCAATAAAATAAATAGAATATTTATTTTATAGGGGGAGCAACTGGTAATTGTACCCATTTTTCTATTTATTATGCTTAATAGATCCCGCCGAGTTCTTCTTCTAATTTATAATTTTATATAATGTATAACTAAGTTTCACCAGAGATATGTTGTATTTTTAGGAAAAATAAGGCTAGAAAAATGTTGGGCTTATAAAGTGATATAATTCGTTTCTTATTGTGCGATTTTTTTTAATTAACTGTCCCTCTCCTGTTTTTTAATAAAAATCCTTTTTGAATTTAGTAGGACCGGAGAAAGATGGTTTACTAGCACAAAAAGTCATTTTATACATAGCACTTCTATCCCGCGCCTATAGCGCATTTACATAACAAAAATGAATACTATTATGCCAACAATCCCTAGTGTTTACCTAAAAAATAGTGGACGTCTACAACAGCCACAAATGCAAATGAATAATTATGGTGGCTACTCTTTTAGCAAACAATCTCCAGGACTAGGTTCAACTCTATCTGGAAATACATCGCTAAATAATAGTGCTATTTGTATCATTGATGCTTATTTTGGTACACTTAATAATACAACAAAAAAGAATATTACTTCAAATAATAATAACCTATCTACTTCTTCTTTTTTCATCAGTAAACCAAACTTCAGTCACACTAGTAGTAAAGTTACTATTCAATTCTTTTATTATACTGCCTCACCTAACGGCGTTCTTTCGTCAACACATGCATATAATAATAAAGTTACAACAGGATCTTTCCGTAAAGATTTTTCCGAACTAAGTACTACACTTGCCCAACTATATCAAAAAGAGGTAAATGTTATCGCTACTCGACTATATTATCCATACCTAAATAGTGATATCCTGAGCCAATATCTAGCTTATAATGCTCCTAGTAATACTTTTATGGATTTCCAAGAAGCTATTCTAACTAACCCTAGTCTACATAAAACAAATCTACCAGCACATGTTAGTGGAATTAAAGTACAAGTTTCAGGACGACTAGTAACCGAGACAGTAATCCCACGAATCACTGTTAAGTCTTACCTAATTGGTTCTTTCCAACGTACCGCTAATAACACAACACAAATTATTGACTATAGTAAATATACAACTAAAAATGAACTGGGTGCTTTTACTGTAAAAGTTTGGATCTGTCAACGATCTAGCTTAGTCTAACGGAACCAATATAGTAGATAAACCAAACCCTCACTAATATAAATTTAGGTTTCTTATTTCCTATTTTTCCCCTTTTACCTGCGCTGGTGCGCCGTCTGTCTATAAATAGCTGTTATTTGTAGGTCGTAATAAAATAATAAGTAAGTAGTAATCCGCCGCTTACTAAATTTATTACCACAATTTATAACAGCAACTTTAACTTTAAAAATCATTATATCTAAATTTATATCATTAGTGATTGCATAGGGTCTGTCCGTCTAACTGAAGGTAAACTATTTTTCTTATAACTTACACCAAAAATGATGTCCTTTTATTTATATAGGAATACACATTATAGTATAGTCTCCAAATATAGTTTACAGCTTTGCTATCTTGATTATATTAAAGAGCTAGTGTAGTTTAATGGTAAAACTTGGGACTTCCACTCTCACATTTTCGGTTCGATTCCGAATACTAGTATAATATGTATAAAAATTTAAGAATTATACCCTGTACTGCCATCTACTAAACTGTTTATCTGGTTTTAACACCTATCCATTATTTTAATAACAAGCAGATCTTACGTGTCTGTGGATAGTACTACTATTAAGTAGTCTGCTTAGTGAAGATAATAAAAATAGTACTGTTTCTTAGGTGAGCCCTTAGTAATGCTTTCAATTGGTCTAATTTCACTACTAGTAGCCATTCCTGTTTTCTCCTACCGAATTACCCCTAGTCTATTTAATCGAATTACATCTGTAGTTCTAATCTACTCTGCTCTACTGGCTTTTAATGGTCTACATATTGAGTCACTAGCTTCCGGAGTAGGTATCTACAGTGGACTATTCCATGTAACTACAGTATCAGTAGCTATCGAAGGATTTCTACTTTTCACAGGTGCTCTAATCCTACTAGGTTGGGGACCTGTTACAGATAAAACGATTGCACGACCAAATACAACAGTAGTTCCGACAATTAGTGAATATTCACTAATGATTCTTTTTACATCTATGGGTGCTACACTGCTACTAAGTAGTTCGGACCTAGTAAGTATGTATCTAAGTATTGAACTACAAAGTTTTGCTGTTTACATTCTAGCAACACTTTACCGAGATTCGGAGTCTGCAACTAGTGCTGGTCTTAAGTACTTTCTACTAGGTGGGCTATCTTCAGCTCTAATTCTACTAGGTACAGCACTAATTTATAGTTATACAGGTCTGACACAATTTGAAAGTATTTATACTCTAGTACAAGTAACAGGATCTACTTCTGCTGCTTATAGTGTTGCTTATAGTGGTGGTGTAACATGTGGACTACTTCTAATTGGTATTGGATTCCTATTTAAAGTAGCAGCTGCACCACTACACAACTGGGCACCTGATGTATATGATGGTGTACCAACTATCGTAACATCATGGCTAACAACAATGCCTAAGATTTCTATCTTTGTATTTCTTCTGGAACTACAATCTGGACTAGAAGGTAGTTTTGAATCACTAAGTCTTCTTCTTGGTGATGATACATCTATTAATATCTGGAAGAATCTACTACTTATTACTAGTGTTCTTAGCCTTATTATTGGTACAGTTGTTGGACTAAGTCAATACCGGATTAAACGACTTCTGGCATACAGTACAATTAGTCATGTTGGATTCCTACTACTAGCTCTAGCTATTAATACAGAAGAATCAATTGAATCATTCCTATTCTATCTAATTCAATACTCACTAACAAATGTAAATACATTCCTAATTCTTCTTGCATTCGGATACATTATGAGTACAAGTAAATCATATCTAGTATCAAATCGAGCTATTAATAAACAATCAATGAATAGTACAGATATTCAATTTATTGATCAACTTAAAGGTCAATTTAAAGAAAATCCTCTACTAGGACTAAGTCTAGCTCTTTGTCTATTCTCTATGGCAGGTATTCCACCGCTAATTGGATTCTTTGCAAAACAAATGGTTCTATACTCAAGTACTCACGGTGGTTACTACTTCCTATCTATTGTTGCTATTCTAGTAAGTGTTATTAGTGCTTCTTACTACCTAAAAATTATCCGAGTTATCTATTTCGATAGTCAAGATACTCAAACGGATGTAGTACATACAGATAATACTGTTAATTCATCAGATACTGTGACTACTCCCACAATTACAAATGTACATAGTCTACTAATTTCTGGTCTAACTATGATCATCGTACTATTTGTACTTCAACCATCAATCCTACTAAATAGCTGTCATATTCTAGCTCTATCTCTATTCTATTACTAATGAATACTATTACACTATTTTTTATTTTTATCCCTATTCTAGCAGTTATTCTTCTATTTGCTAACCTTCTACTAGCTGTACACCGACCTGATTCAGAAAAAGTAACACCGTACGAATGTGGATTCTCACCAGTGTATGGTCAAACACGTAATCCTTTTTCTATTCAATTTTATCTAGTTGGTATCCTATTTCTAGTATTTGATATTGAAATTCTTCTAACATATCCTTATGCAATGAATCTTTACCAAACAAGTACTTATGGATTCTGGATTTTTGTTATCTTCTTCCTAGTACTTACTATTGGATTTGTTTACGAGTTTGGTACTGGAGCCCTGTACTTCACAGATAAACGATCTTCAATTCAAAACACTAAGATCACTAACGAAAATAACCTCCCCCTTTTATCGAATTTTGATTCTTTTTTCTGCCCGTAGTTTCCTTGGTAAGGTGGATAATAGGTCAATATACAAAAAAGATTCCTTTTTTCAATCAGTTACAAAATCTATAGTTTTATTAGGGTTAGGTTATAAATTTCTTTATAACTTTTTTACTCCTATCAGATTTATAGAAATTTATCATAACCGTACATATTAATCAATTTCAATTTAAAGAGAGGTATATAATGTAATTCCCATTATTATTATATCGTATAACTACACCTTGATGTCGACTTATACCGGCCTAATAAAGTTTCTATAGAAATTTTATTAGAAGGTTACATTCAGCTTATTTATTAACCATTAGGTCACTTTCTTTTTTAACAAGGAATGTTATATGCAAGTTTTTTGTTAAATAGAGTACATTCCAGGATTCGAACACTGGTCTAGCAGGACATGAATCTGCTGTGCCACCTTTACACTAAAGTACTTTTATATATGTTTTGCTATTCTTATATTAACTTTATTTATACATCTCCAATAAAATATTCTATTTTATTGGAGAGGGGAATAAGGTATGGCGTGCAAAAAAGGAGGGGAAAATTAATTAATCGAGTGTCTTTTTATATACAGTAGTAATAAATTTTCTGCACTTATTATATTTTTTATTTTTCAATTAGCAGCTCAGAACAATACTATTTTAATTAATAGAGTAAAGTAGTCCTGATGTTGAGGCATGAACAGAATCAAGAATGATATTAGGGAAAATACCAAATAGTACAGCAACAAACAGAAGAGGTAGCAGAAGCATGAATTCTCGTCGAGTTAGATCTGTAGTGTAGTTTAGGTATTTACTCCATGCACCAAATGCAATCCGGTTGTATAGCCAAATTGAGTAAGCAGCACTTAGAACAATACCTGTACTTCCTAGTACAGCAAACACAGGGTTTCGTTGGAAGGCACCAGCTAGACATAGGAATTCTCCAGCCCAATTAGCACTTAGAGGTACAGCAGCATTAAAGATTGTAAATACAAAGAACATAATGGAGAATAGTGGCATATAAGCAGTCATACCTCGGTAGTATCGAATAGTTCGTGTATGGTATCGATCATATAGAACACCACCAACCAGGATAAATAGTGCTGGACTAACAACACCATGAGCAATACTTAGCAGCAGAGCTCCATCAATACCTTGAATAGTATTACTAAATAGTCCTAGTACTACAACGGCCATATGACCAATTGAAGAGTAAGCAACTAGAGCTTTGAAATCTGTTTGTCGTAGCGTAGCTAGTGATGCATAAATTAGAGTAATTACTGCAATAGTTTGCACTAGTGGAGAGAAGTATGATGTGGCATCCGGTAGGAATTGAATTAGAATACGCATATATCCATATGTAGCTAGTTTTAGAATTAGACCAGCTAGGATAACACTACCTGCTAGTGGTGCTTCAGCATGAGCTCGAGGTAGCCATACATAAAATGGTAGTAGTGGTGTTTTAATAGCCATACTAATAAATACAGCTAGCCATAGTAGTTTTTGTGACTCTAGATTAATTTCTGATAGTGATACCACTTGAAAATCTGTTGAACCTACATTGTAATAAATTACTAGGAATGCTAGTAGCATAAATAGTGAACCAAATAGTGTATAAAGGAACAGTAGAAAAGCAGCTCGTACTCGTGTTGCACTACCACCCCAAATACCAACAATTAGGAATAGAGGGATTAGCACACTTTCAAAGAATACATAAAATAGTAGGATATCTAGAACAACAAATACAGCAATAAGTAGTGTTTCTAGTACTAGAAAACACATTAGAAAGTATTTAAGTTGATCTTTAATGTTATCCCAGTTACTTAGAATACAAATTGGTGTAATAAATGTTGTTAGTAGGACAAAGTAAAGTGAAATACCATCTACTCCAATGTGCAGATGACAAAAATTTACTTGATTAAATTCTTGCGTAAATTGGTATTCACTAGTACTTGAATCAAATTGTCCCCATAGTACAATACTTAGAACAAAAGTAATTAGAGATGTTCCTAGTGCTAGGCGTTTCATTTGTGATTCTGATTGTGGAGTATTTCCTTGCATAGGTGCTAGCATTAGAGCACCAGCTAGAGGAATAAGTAGTAGTAGTGTTAGCATTTTTGTTATTTTTTTTTNTCCTAGTGCTAGGCGTTTCATTTGTGATTCTGATTGTGGAGTATTTCCTTGCATAGGTGCTAGCATTAGAGCACCAGCTAGAGGAATAAGTAGTAGTAGTGTTAGCATTTTTGTTATTTTTTTTTATTTCTATTTTTTTTTTTCTTATTATTCATGTCCTTCTTCTGTCTCCGTTACGAAAACAGGGGCAAACGCCCTCCTTATCTCTTTTATTCTTTTTTGCCCCTAATTTCGTAGAGTCTATTCTATTTTGTACATAGAATATTAGAATAGAAGCATAAGTACTACCTATACAATTATTAAAATATAACGAAATATATTTACTAGCCTCTCTTTTTTATTAAGATACTTAATATTATTTATCTATATATATATATATATAGGGATAGGTCTCTTAGTTTAAAGGTAAAACAGTAGATCTTCATTTTACTAATAGGAGTTCGATTCTCCTAGAGATCAGTATATTTATACAGATAATATGCAGATGAGGCTATTTGTATAATTATAAAAAAATGTCGACTTAGTTTAGTGGTAGAATAGGTAACTTGTAATTACTTGACACTAGTTCGATTCTAGTAGTCGGCAATATATAAAAAAGAAATAAATACAATCTTTTAATACAATACATAATGCGTTTCTATACTACACAAAAGCGATAAGTAGAAATGTAGGATGTCGTCTAAAGGAAAGACATCATTTTTTGGTAATGAGAATGGTTGTTCGATTCAACCCATCCTAGAAACATATAAAGATAGTAGGGCTCGAACCTACGACGTCGATATTAAAAGTATCGCACTCTAACCAACTGAGTTATACCTTCTTTATATAGGTTACTTATGGACAAACCGCTATTGGCGAGGTGTAGGCGATTGCTAATTGTCTGGAATATCAAAAACTTCCTTAGGAGTTCGAATCTCCTTTTGTCCGTGGTGAGTAATTATATACCTATATACAGGTATATCAAATTGATATATAGAAAACTTTTTTACTTACTTCTTTATTAAAAGTATTTATTATTACATTACGATTATTTATTTTATAAAGAATTATACTATAAACTATAATGAGAAAAAATAGAAATAAAAAAGGAAATAGACTAAGAGGGCTTACCACAGCTATTAGCTGTGGTACGATGGCTTTATTCAACAAATGCTAAAGACATTGGTACACTGTATCTAATTTTTGCAGTATTTGCAGCTATGATTGGAACAGCATTTTCAGTACTAATCCGAATGGAACTAGCAGCACCTGGTGTACAATACCTTAACGGAGACCACCAACTATATAACGTTATTATTACAGCTCACGCTTTTGTAATGATCTTCTTTATGGTTATGCCAGCAATGGTGGGTGGATTCGGTAATTACCTTGTACCTGTTATGATTGGTGCTCCTGATATGGCATTCCCTCGACTAAACAACATTTCATTCTGGCTACTACCTCCTTCACTAATTCTACTACTAGCTAGTGCTTTTGTAGAGCAAGGAGCAGGAACAGGATGGACAGTTAAAAGTAAGCTGTCCCAGATTATGATTCTGTTTGTGAGTTTTTATAATCTACTAAACATTACTCGATGCGGGAAACTCCTCTACTCGGAGATGAATACTCATTCCGTACTAAAATATATTGGTACCTGGCTACCTGATGCGAGCCGACGAAATGATGTAAAAAAGTCATCAACTTGGGGACAATCCGCTTGGATTCTATATAAAATTATTCTACCATCAGGTATTACTTCTACTAATCTGCTTGTAGGTCTACTATTTTATACTGTGTATAAAATCTGTATGTATCCTACAATTCTTTTCCATGTAGTATATAACAGTGTTAGTTTTAATAAGAATCCATCAGAGACTCAACGTAATGCATTTTCTAGTGGAATGGTTAATAATAGCACAAACTTTAAAGAATGGCTAGTTGGTATCACAGATGGAGACGGGACATTTTATTTTGCTAAGACTAAAAAAGGAATTTGAACATTTTCTTTCCAAATTGGCCAAAGTAATTATAATCTACGTCTTCTATATTATATTAAATCTATGCTTGGTGTTGGTTCTGTATCAACAACCGATGCTAAAGATAATACAGCACATTATCGTGTGCGTAATATTCAACATATTACTCAGTACATTCTACCTATTTTTGATGCATGTCCACTACTTACTAGTAAATATTTTAACTATGATCTTTTTAAGAAAGCTATCCTAATTATGAAAGACTCATCTCTATCTAACCAAGAAAAAGATGAAAAAATTTCTTATCTAAAAGCACAATCTCTACCCGACAATTATATTAGCCCTGCTTGGAATAATGTAAATAACAAAGTAACTTCTATTCTAGATGCTATGAATGTTATAACTAAAAGTTGGCTAATTGGGTTTACGGAAGCAGAAGGTAGCTTCTATATTGTAAAGAAAGGACCTCTTCGACTAGTTCATGCCTTTGAAATTACACAAAAACTGGATAAAATTGTTCTAGAAGCTATTGCATTTATTCTAGGTCTAAAAGTGACAACTAAAAAAACATATATGACTGTTGTAACAACAAATTCTAAATCAATTGAAAACATTATTATTTATTATTTTAAGACTATGAAAGGTATAAAAGCTCTTGAATATCGAATTTGGGCACGATCTTTTAATAAAAAAGCTTCTGGTGGTTTTGAATACATGACCCAAATTCAAAATCTTATGCGTAATATTCGAAGTATTCGACTAGATAAAAATTTTACTAAAAAATAATTTCATATTTACTCATAGTTATAAGCCCTCCTTATATATTTACTACTAAGAGGAAATGAAGGTATAGTCCAATCCAATATGAGAATATTGGCAATGAATTATTAGTAATCTATAGTAATTCATTATTTATGTTACCCTCCTCTATCAGGACTACAAAGTCACTCAGGAGGTTCAGTGGATCTAGCTATTTTTAGTCTACACCTATCAGGTATTTCATCAATGCTAGGAGCAATGAACTTTATTACTACAGTTCTTAATATGCGAAACCCAGGAATGACACTACATAAACTACCACTATTTGTTTGGGCTATCTTTGTTACAGCTATCCTACTGCTACTATCACTACCAGTACTAGCTGGAGCAATTACAATGCTACTAACAGACCGTAACTTTAACACATCATTCTATGACCCAGCAGGAGGTGGAGATCCTATTCTTTACCAACACCTATTCTGGTTCTTCGGACACCCAGAAGTTTATATTCTGATTATCCCTGGATTTGGAATGGTTAGTCACATCGTAAGTGCATTCTCAGGTAAACCAGTATTTGGATACCTAGGTATGGTTTATGCTATGTTCAGTATTGGAATTCTAGGATTCCTAGTATGGAGTCACCACATGTATGCTGTAGGACTTGATGTTGATACACGAGCTTACTTTACAGCTGCTACAATGATTATTGCTGTTCCAACAGGAATTAAAATTTTCTCATGGCTAGCTACACTATACGGTGGTTCACTACGAATCACTACACCTATGCTATTTGCTCTTGGATTTATTGCTCTATTTACAATTGGAGGTCTAACAGGAGTAATTCTAGCTAATGCTTCACTAGATGTTGCGCTACACGATACATACTACGTTGTTGCTCACTTCCACTATGTTCTATCAATGGGAGCTGTATTTGCTCTATTTGGAGCATTCTACTTCTGGACACCAAAAATCATTGGTAAAACATTTAATGAAAATCTAGGACGAATCCACTTCTGGACACTGTTTGTAGGGGTTAACCTAACATTCTTCCCACAACACTTCCTAGGACTAGGTGGTATGCCACGACGAATCCCTGATTACCCAGATGCATTCGCTGCATGGAATGCTATCAGTAGTTTCGGAAGTCTAGTATCAGTAGTTGCTACAGCACTATTCGGTTACATCATTTACGATATCCTTGTAAACGGTAAACCAGTAGATGCTAACCCATGGGCTGTGCCAGCATTCTTCCAATCAACACCAGAATTCTGGATGGAAAGCCACACAGCTTCTTCACTAGAATGGGCTCTAGAATCACCTACACCATTCCATAGTTTCAATATGCTACCTGTACAATCATAATTTATATTTTAATTATATAATAAAATGATAGGGTGCAATATGCACTCCCCTTTTCTTTATCGCCCAAGTAAATTACCTTTTTATTTTCTTGGCACATTTATTGTTTTCTATTTTCTAGTAGTTATAAAATCGAAGATTTTATTGGCTCTTCTAGAAAAATATACTTTTTGGACTCTATTAAATTGATTATTTAATGGTACAAAAATAGTACTAACAGTTTCAGTAGAGACTAAGCCTATACTATTAATAAAATGGAAATCTCCAACTATTTAATAAATTGGGAAAGCTATAGTCTACTAGTTTGAAACCATTTTATTGATTCATAAATAATGCCTCAACTACTACCTTTTTACTTCGTAAATCAAATCTCATTTGCATTCCTAGGACTATTCGTACTACTATTTGTATTTTCTAAATACATCCTACCAGCTTTTGTAGAACTATTTGTTTCACGAATGTACATCACTAAACTGTAATTAAATTATCTACCCGGCTAAAAAATTTTCTTAGAAATTTTTTTAGCCGGGTCGGTAAAAGAAAACCTTTTTTAGGATATCCGGAGACTTTAGTCTCCCCCCTCATAAAGCAGATAAATTCAATTCGTTAAAGATATAAAGTTAATAAATATACTATTTCTAGATAAAAATTATAAAAGTATACAATTTGTTTATAGGAATAAATAGAATATGTAAAAAAGAAATCTTTTTTTCTACTATACTAAGCATTTATTCGTAAATCATCGATGCTTACAAGACAGAACGAAAAGTCCTTTTATTTCTTCTTATTTTAGCTTATATTGTTCACTAGTGTTTTTATACTAAAATAGTCCAATTATTTTAGTAAGTTATATACTGTGTCGACTATATAATAAAAAAAAGTAACAATCCAATTAATATTATTTTATGCAATGGCATTCCTAATTCATTCACCACTAGAGCAATTTGAGGTAACTAGTCTTATTTCTCTAAACCTACCAGTACTTGGATACATTAATCTAAGTCTGACAAACCTAGGACTATATACAATTCTAACAGTATACCTAGTACTAGCACTTCACATTATGGGAAGTAACAACAAACAACTAATTCCAAGTCGATGGAGTATTGCACTAGAAAGTAGCTTTGCTTCAGTACACGGGCTAGTTAAATCACAAATTGGTGCAGCTAACGAAATGTACCTACCATTTATTTACTCACTATTCTTCTTTATCCTAATTGCAAACCTAAGTGGTAACGTACCATACGGATTTACAGTAGCAACATCAATTATGGTAAGTATCGGTCTAAGTATGACAATCTTTATTGGTGTTACAATTCTTGGTCTACGACTACACAAAGTACACTTCTTCTCATTCTTCGTTCCTTCAGGTACACCTCTAGGACTAGTACCTCTACTGGTACCTATTGAGCTGATTTCATACCTAGCACGAGCTTTTTCACTTGGAGTTCGGCTATTTGCCAACACAGTAGCGGGGCACACACTACTTAAAATCCTTTCAGGATTCCTAGCACCAATGTTCACATCAGGAGCTATTACAGCAGTTATTACTCTAATTCCATTCAGTATCTTTATCGCGCTAATTGGACTAGAACTTGCAGTTTCATTTATCCAAGCTTATGTATTCTGTATTCTAACAGCATCATACCTTAAAGATGCTATTGACCTACACTAAATAACTTAGTTTTAGCGATGTGCACAGCATCCCCCTTTTCATTTTCATTAGATACAGTTATATTTATAATATTTAGTTATTAAAGGTTTATGAAAATTCCTAAATAAGCTTTATATATATAGGTATACAAACACGTAAGGGTTTAGCTGAGTGGTTTAGCATCGATCTTACACATCGAGGACAGAGGTTCGATTCCTCTAATTCTTATTTAAATTAACAAATACACCACAATTATATATAATAATCTAGTTTTCATAGTATAACTAACCTGTATTATTAAAAAATATATAAATTTACGACATATAAAAATGGGATTTTATACTACTTTATAGGAAAGGACAACTTCCTTTTATTTAACGTGCTGCTTTCTCTTTTAAAGTTGGTTAACTTCTTTTTTTTAGCTAATCAATATAAAAGAGCTGCTTTATATATAGTATAAAGTTATTCTAAAATGCTTTTTTAGAATACTACTTTCTTACTATAGTTATTGATAATTATATAGTAATGATGTAGGGTTAGTAAAGCTATAATAATATATAATTAATTTTTACAATGTTTAATCTATTTCCATTTGCTACTACAGCAATTTTTAATGATGCACCACAACCTTGGCAACTAGGATTCCAAGATGGAGCATCACCAACACAAGAAGGAATTACCGAGCTACATGATTCTATCTTTTTCTACCTAGTAATTATTTGTTTTGGAGTACTATGGGTACTATCATCAGTTATTGTTAACTTTAATAGTAACAAATCACAACTAGTATACAAATACGCTAACCACGGAACTCTAATCGAGCTAATCTGGACAATTACACCTGCTCTAGTACTTATCGCTATTGCTTTCCCTAGTTTCAAACTACTTTACCTTATGGATGAGGTAATCAGTCCTTCTATGACAGTTAAAGTAGCAGGGCACCAATGGTACTGGTCATACGAGTACTCAGATTTCATTAATGAAGATGGAGAGTCAATTGAATTTGATTCATACATGGTTCCTGAAACAGATCTAGAAGATGGACAACTACGACTACTAGATGTAGATAACCGAGTAGTAGTACCAATCGATACACACATTCGATTTATCGTAACAGGAGCAGATGTTATTCATGATTTTGCAGTGCCATCACTAGGACTTAAAATCGATGCTGTACCAGGACGACTAAACCAAACATCAGTTCTAATTGAGCGAGAAGGAGTATTCTACGGACAATGTTCAGAAATTTGTGGAGTATACCACGGATTTATGCCTATTGCAGTTGAAGCTGTTACACCAGAGAAATACCTTGCATGGATTGATAGCCAAGCTTAGTTATCCCCTCCCCTTCTATTACAAAAAAATGAACCAAATGAAAATAAGTAAAAAAACCTTCTTATATTTTTCTATTATTATTAATTTGATATATAGTTAATTATTCCATTCTCTTGATTTAAACCTGTTTTATGTTTATTACTTTAATGGAAAAAATAAAATAGTAACTAAATATAGACTTATTAATGTGCGTATATTTATCCTAATAAATACAAATTAATAACGCAGTAAATTCGCATCTAAATAAAATGCTTTCAGTTCTATATAATCTACTAGAGATTCTAGTAGTACTTGTTCCTATCCTACTAAGTGTTGCTTTTATGACAGTAATTGAACGAAAAGTAATGGGATCAATGCAACGACGAATTGGACCTAATGTAGTTGGGTACTATGCTCTACTTCAACCATTCGCAGATGCTCTAAAACTAGTTATTAAGGAGCAAGTTATTCCATCACAAGCTACTAAAAGTCTATTTTTCCTAGCTCCTATGGTTACACTAATTTTTAGTCTACTAGGTTGGGGTGTAATCCCTCTAGGTCCCGGGCTAGCTCTTAGTGACTTCTCACTAGGTATTCTTTATTCACTGGCCCTTTCAAGTATTGGTGTATATGGAATCCTATTCGCTGGATGGTCAGCTAATTCTAAATATGCGTTCCTAGGTTCTCTACGGTCTACAGCTCAAATGATTAGTTACGAGCTAATTTATAGTGCTGCAGTTCTTGCTGTAATTCTACTTTGTGGTACATTCAATATTACAGAAATTATTGAAGCTCAACAAAGTGTATGGTATATCGTACCTCTACTACCTATTTTTATTCTATTTTTCATTTCAGCACTTGCTGAAACAAACCGTACACCATTCGATCTTCCTGAAGCTGAATCAGAGCTAGTTGCTGGTTTCATGACAGAGCACTCAGGTATGATCTTCGTATTCTTCTTCCTAGCTGAGTATGGAAGTATTGTTCTAATGTCTACTTTTACAGCTATCCTATTCCTTGGAGGATACAACATGTCACCTCAAGTACTATTTGCTGAAGATTCATTTATTAATCTACAAAGTATTGCTCTAGCTGTAAAAGCAGTTCTGATTATGTTCCTATTTGTATGGATCCGAGCTACGCTGCCTCGAATGCGGTACGATGGGCTTATGACGTTCTGTTGGACAGGTATGCTTCCTGTAGCCATTGCACTACTAATTCTAGTGCCTAGTCTACTTATTGCCTTTGATATTAGTCCATACTAATTACTTATTTGCTTAATTACTAGTAGTTATAAAATCTTCTATTTTTTAGCCCATAAAATCGAAGATTTTTGGCCCTGCTAGTGAGAAAACTCACTATATATTTATTATATTTTTTCCCCCGATCCCCGAAGGGGATAGGTGTTTTTTATTAATAAAAAAGATCAAGCTACAATTTCATTTTATAAATACTGTTAAACAGGACGTTTAGCTAAACCCGGTTTAGCTTTGTAAAAAAGACTGTTAACATTAACTAAATATTATCATATACAGTTAATTAGGACAATAAAGGTTTATAAAGGAATACAAATATTTTTAGTATCATATAGGGGGCATAGTATAGTTGGTCAGTATACTTCCTTTGCAAGGATGGGAGACAGGTTCGAGTCCTGTTGCCTCCAAAAATGGTTAATTAAATAGTTTCATTATCGTGGTGCTTACTTTATTTAATTTTACTAGTTGCTACACTGCAAACATTTATTATCATATAAAAACCCCAGACTATTACAAGAGATAGATGGGCCTCAATAGCTTAGATGGTAGAGCATAGAACTGAAGCTTCTAACGGATTGGTTCGATTCCAGTTTGAGGCATTTTATCGATAGGGTTCAAGCAGTCGGACCCAAGAATCTCTAGCTATTTCCTGCTCCCTGGAAGGGAGCCGGGGTGTATGTAAAAAACAAATGCAGATATGCTCTATTGGTTGGGGCGGTGCTCTGTAAAAGCATTGGCTGTATGCCGTGGTGAGTTCGAATCTCACATCTGCAATTAAAAAGTATCTAAATGAAACTGGCCTTTCATCCCTTACCACAGACTGATAAACATTATTATAATAACTAATTTATTATATTTATTAGAACTAGGTATTGAATTAAACTTAAGTTTTTGCAACACTAGACACTAAATTGAATTTAGTGTCTAGTTTTATATTAGAAAATACAAGAAGTTTATATTAAAAAGGAAATTTTCATTGGGACCATACTGACTTACGTCGTATTGAACCCAATACCTTCCCAACCGTCAATCTCTTTCGTTATATAATCTTCTAATTAGCTATTTATTTTAACTTAATCATAATAAGATCTAAGCTTTATATAGCTTTTTTATTATAACAATTTATAAAATAATATATGTATACGGACGCGGGGAGATTCGAACTCCCGGTTCTCGGGTGAGAACTCCTAGACTCAAGCCAGGTACATTAAACCACTCTGTCACACGTCCTTTTTCTATGTTATCTATTATACATAATAGATACTTAATTTAGCTATGATATATAAATATATTTCCTATATATAATTACTTGTATAGGAATCGGTAAGCGTAATTATAAATAAAAACATTTTGATCTATGTTTTCCTATTTTAATTTTCTTGCCTTATTAAGCAATCCTATTTTTTATTATCTAGCAATATAATAAATACATACCAGCTATTTTATAGCAAGATTTCCTAACTTTAATAAAAAACATTAATAAATTTATGCTAACTAATTCAAATCGTATAAACCTTATATAATGAGGTTTACTATCATTTATATATTATTACAAATTATTAGTATAGTAGTGGTATTGGTTTTTAATTATAATTAAATGTACCAGATTCTACGCTATGTATTTGTATGTTTATTTTTTATAGTAGTCGATATTATAAGTCGCTTTAGTTTTAACTAATAGTATTGTTATTGTTGAAATATTTATAGTAGCATACTGTAAATATAAATATAGGAAGTTTTAATACAATTACTTTATTACGTTGCATTTATATATATTATATATACATAATTTAGATGTACTACGGTAGTTTAAAGGTATATTATTGATATATGAAAAAAAACAATTTTTTACATAGAAATATTACTATTAATTTTCTATTTTAATATTTCTCCTATGGCGTGTTATTTATAATTCTACTTTATTACTGGAGAGGTCATTAGCGCTGTATCTAAACTAAATTCTTATAAAGATTGTAAATAATACGACAAAAAATAAACATCCCTTTTACAATATACACAAATTAACAATGAACACACAACTATCACGAACACAATTTCAATTTCAGCCATTTCATCTAGTTACACCTAGTCCATGGCCACTACTTACATCATTTGCACTTCTAATTCTTACTTCAGCTGCAGTAATGTATTTCAACGGTTATGCTAACCCTCTTGGAGGTTCAGGAGCTCTACTAGTAGGAATCGGGCTAGCAACAACAGTTGCAGCTATGGCTCTATGGTTCCGAGATGTGGTAGCAGAAGGAACATTCCTTGGAGACCATACAATTCTAGTACAAAAAGGAATTACAATGGGTGTTGCCCTATTTATTATCTCAGAGGTATTCTTCTTTATCTCTGTATTCTGGGCATTCTTTCACTCAAGTCTATCACCTACAGTAGAACTTGGAGCTCAATGGCCACCAGTTGGTATCGCAACAATTAATCCATTCGAACTACCTCTACTTAATACTATTCTACTACTATCATCAGGAGCTACAGTAACATACGCACACCACTCTGTAATTGAAGGTAACCGACGAGGAGCAATCCTAGGAACACTTATGACACTAATCTTTGCTGTTCTATTCACAATCTGTCAAGGAATCGAGTACGTAAATGCTGGATTTACTATTGCAGATGGAGTGTTTGGATCAACATTCTTCTTCTCAACAGGATTCCATGGTATCCACGTTATTATTGGAACACTATTCATCGCTGTGGCATTCTTCCGAATGCTTAGCTACCATCTAACAGACCACCACCACCTAGGATTTGAAGCATCAATTCTATACTGGCACTTTGTTGATGTTGTTTGGCTATTCCTATTCATCTCAGTATACTGGTGGGGAAGCTAATATAGATTTATCTATATCCCCTTTTTATCTTGTAAAGTGTTCGTCTTTGCGTGTCTAAGTGATTTTATCTACTTATATTTATATAAAAAAGATTTTTACTAAGGACTTCTTCATTTTTATTGTGTAATACTTCTATATAAGAATAGAAAACATATAAATTGTCCTTAATTCAACGGTTAGAATGTGTTTCCGATAAAGACATTATAGAGGTTCGATTCCTCTAGGACAAAATTATTAATTAGATAGGCAAAAATGTCATCTTACTTCTTATTATTCTTTTTATACACTACTGTAAAGAAAAAAGAAAATATCTAGAATAAAAGGATTTATATAGGAGTTGAGATAATTGAATCAAAAAGAGTAAATATATAAATTATAGTAGAAATAGTAATATACCATAGAGGCGTGTATATTTACAGAACAACATGAATAGAAATTCATGAATTATAATAGAAGTGTTCTACTTCTTTATCTATTCAGTAAATGAAAAATCTAATGAATAGATAAAAACCTTATCATAATATAAAGAAATCTTATACTATATTAAATGAAAGGTTTAAAAACTATATAGTTAATGCGACTACTTAAATCACATCCTATTCTAGGTCTAGCTAATAGTTACCTAGTTGATAGTCCACAACCTTCAAACCTTTCTTACATGTGGAACTTTGGATCACTACTGGGAGTTTGTCTAATTATCCAAATTCTTACAGGAGTATTCCTAGCTATGCATTATACACCTTCAGTTGATCTAGCATTTATTAGTGTTGAGCACATTATGCGAGATGTTAACTATGGATGGCTAATTCGATACCTACATGCTAATACAGCTTCATTCTTCTTCATCTTCGTATACCTTCACATTGGACGAGGACTATACTATGGATCATACAAATCACCACGAACACTACTATGGTCAATTGGAGTTATTATTCTAGTTCTAATGATGGCTATTGCCTTCCTTGGTTTTATTGGCCAAAAATGGATGTATATTTATAATGTCAACATAACTGATATTCAATCACTTTCTATTTCTACTGTTGTAACACATAATACGCGTCTTAAAAATATTCTTGATAAACATAATATTAAACCTGTTCTTCTATTTGAAAATCTTACGAATTCAGATACTAAGAAAATAGCTTATCGATCCCTTAAACCCTTTTCAGGTATTTATATGATTGTTAACCTAGTTACTGGAAAATATTATGTAGGTAGTGCTGTAACAGGTAACCTCTATATGCGTTTTCATAAGCATCTATTTTATTTTGCAGGAAATAAACGAGTTGCTAACGCTGTTAATAAATATGGACTATCTGAATTTGCATTTCTAGTACTAGAGATTGTACCTCAAAAGGATAAAATAGACAGTACACTACTTCTTAATCGAGAAGATCATTATCTAGAGACACTAAAACCGGAATATAATATTGCGCCACTGGCTAGTAATAGTCTTGGATGGAAACATTCTGAAGAATCTCTAGCAAAGATGCGTGAAAACTATTCAGAGGACCGACGACAACAAGTTGGAAATATTAACAAAGGAAAATCACTTTCCCTAGAGACACGTGAGCTTATTCGTAAATCAGCACTACTTCGGGAGAGTATGTCCATTGAAACTCGAATGAAATGTGCTGTAAATGTTCGACCTGTTATTATCACAAATCTAGATGGTTCTAATGCTATGAATTTTGTAAGCATGAAAGAAGCAAGTATTGCTATTTCATGTAATGAAAAAACAATTCGGCGTGCTCTAAATGGAGATGGAATTGTTAAAAAGAACTATATTGTTAAAGAAATGAAAGATATTATTGAAGAATAAGTTAAATTGATATACTGCAAAGTTTTATATAAAATACATTTATAGTCCTATTGTATTCCCCTTTAAAATCTGTATAGAGAATAGGGTAAATAACAATAGAATACCTCGACAGGGGTATTGGAGATAGTATTATCTCTGGCAATGCGAGTGAAAACGGTCAACGGAAGTTATCACATTTCAAGACCGTCGGTTGTATACACGATCGCGACAGACTGGGTCACTTGTGGGTACCTGAAATGGTGCCTAATGTACAGTCGGATATCTAAAGTAGTTAACTGTACTACTTTTCAAGGCCTAAAATGATATAAATAATAGTAATATGATTATTTATTGATTAGGTACAACTACTATTTGTTGTGATATCAGATAATAAATAGATAGAGATATTGTATGTTCTACCATACGGACAAATGAGTCTATGGGGAGCTACAGTTATTACTAACCTTCTAAGTGCTATCCCTTGGATTGGACAAGATTTCGTTGAATTTGAAAAACTACTACTATTTATTATAACACTTTCTATTTTTTATTACTTTATTACTAAATTTAATTACAACTACAATATGGGTACAATCGGAAAAGTAAATGAATCTGCTCTACGAGGACAAAAATCTCGTACAGATCAAGATAAACAAGATTTTCTATCTTTTGTTTCCTACGATTTTATAAGTATGTTTATAGGTCTCATTGATGGTGATGGTTATATCGCTATTACTAAAATTGGCCTGGA